GACGTCGTTTAAATTTTCAAAAACACGACAAATTATCAACTCACAACAGATCGTAAAAAAACGCAATTAAAATTTCCCTGTGTTCCATCTGTTGTAACATAATGCTTGAGCATTTATCGAGCCCAAATCCGGACATTTTGAGCTCGGAATAAATACATTAATAATACTCTTCCGCCACAAGTTGATTCTCCACCATCTCGCCCACTCGGGCGATATAAAACAAACTCCCGACGTGCGCGGGGGCAGGGCCGTACCGGCCTGGGGGCGGCAGGTGAGCGTGGGCGTAGGGCCGCGTTCGGGGGACGACTTGTCACGCTACCTGTTGGTCTGCTCTCGAGCCTCACCCCGTATCGATCCGAATGAGGACGACCGAGTATGCACGCCGATGTACAAACGGTTCTTTGCTTATTGCTTATACACACTTTCGCCGAGTTCCCGTCTTCTGTGCGCGAATTTTGGTGAAGGATTTTACGCGTTTCCACCAATTTTCTTGTGCGGTTGAGTTACATACACGCGGAGCATCCGCCAAACTTTATAATCGTTTTAGATTTCCCACCAGTTTCTTAAGAATAATGCGAAACATCCGCCAAAATTTTAAGAGTCAAATTACACGTGAAGCTTCCACCAAAATTTATATTCATTTTAGATTTCCCACCATTTTTTTAAGTATTATAAAGCGAAACATCCACCAAAATTTCAAGAGGAGTCAAATTACACTTGGAGTATTCACCAAAATTTACACTCATTTTAGATTTCCCAATAATTTTTTAATAATTATAAAGCGAAACATCCACCAAAATTTCAAGAGGAGTCAAATTACACTTGAAGTATTCACCAAAATTTACACTCATTTTAGATTTCCCAATAATTTTTTAATAATTATAAAGCGAAACATCCACCAAAATTTCAAGAGGAGTCAAATTACACTTGGAGTATCCACCAAAACTTATACTCATTTTATATTTCCCACCAATTTTTTAAGAATTATAAAGCGAAACATCCACCAAAATATCTACACCAAATTTTACACGAGCATTCAGATAATCTATAGTTAACTACACGTATTAATTTGTTTTCCTCGATTTATTTTCATCATCTAACGATGCATGGGTAGGTTATTGGATGATTACACCCTTTGCGCGACCGTTATTAGTTTAATGGGCGATTCGAACTTTACGTTCGTGATTCGTATCTTTTTTTAAAACGAAACGCACTCGCTTATTACAAGTAAATCATTTTGCTGCGGATTTTCCGTTGCGGAGAAACTCCCGGCGAATTGGGTAGGTACATAAAAAGAGCGCACTTTTTAAAATACGACCGTAATTTCGGGGTTTATAGGTATTTGATGTCATTTTTAGAGTTTTTTATTGTGCGATTAAAGTTTTCATTTATTTACGGTATAACTGGTATAAATCGCAATTACGGTACGGTATTTCTTGCCCGGCAATCTTGTCCCAACAACTAATAAACCTTACTACATTAATTTCACCTGTATATAGTACGATATTAATAAATATATAGAGTGTTCTCCTTACTACAAACATAACTACATTTAGTAATGGAATAATTTGTTTGAATGCCGGTTAATTCCGGTATCAGATGCTCCACATTCGCGTGGCTAATTTTAAATTCCGCGTACAAAGTCCGCGTGTCAGGTCCAAAAGCGTCGCGGGAATTTCAAAGGGGGGCGCCACTATCATATGCATGCTGGCTATAAATTTGCACATGAACTGCCGGTCTCGTTTCGGGTGCAACTAAATCGTAGGAAAGAGCCGGTCCGTGCACACGGTACAGAACAATGCCGGTCCTCATGCAAATAACCGCTGTATGATTGCTTCGGAATTACAACGCGCAAAAAGTTCCGCAATTGGAACTTTCCGAAGCATCCTAATGAATGTTTGTCCCGCTGGATCGATTTTTTACTTCTCTATTTTTGGTTTATGATAAATAACGAGAAGTGTGTTAAAAATGTAGAATTTACATTCGATTCGGATCATATTCGAGGCGTGTCTATTCCTGTAGGTACATAAATAATATTGTAGTATCGATCAGAAGACATGAAATATTGAATAGGCGTGTGATTCCGAGTGACAGGAAATTTGTATCTGGCATGTGATATGTCAATTTATTCCGCTTCCTATACAACATATGCCGCGCTAGGATACACACAGTATCGATATAATGGAAGTTGAAAGTTTCTGTAATTGCCGTTCATTCCATCGCCTTCCGCATACACCGAATCAAAACTCCAAATATTTGTTTTATTATACTTTTATACACACAATTTTTTACGTATACCCAATATAAATATCGGAAATCCATTTACCGAGCTCGTTATTTCAAACACGAAGGAATCGCGTAGTGTAAAATGTTTGAATTAATGAAGATATGTCAATCAAATACTGCTATATTTGATATAGCAACAGTTACCTATTGGTTATAATTGTAAAATGGTTATGAATTATTTAGGAGTATATTTTGAACGTCCCTCGTCTATCATTCATGACGGCAACTTCAAAACTTCCTTTACCACAGTCGCAACTAATTTCATTTAGCTTCTTGTGCTTATACACTGCTCGTCTATCTTCGTTTGCTCATTTTTAATCAAGAATCATCCCAGAGAAGTCCCATCTTTAATTACACACAACTTCATTTCTAATTTTCTCTATAATTTACCGACACACGCTTTTACGGTACAGGCTATAAATACGACAGATAAGCATCCTTGTACCTTCTGCTAAACCGAATATTTACCACCGAATAACTTGTATATCATCGGATACAAATGGCGCGTCCGCGAAATATATTTTCGTTATGCCAGATAGTGCTTTCTGTTCGACCTGACTGCGATTAATCAAGATTTGATCCGGCTACCCAACGCGTCCCATAGTCCGGGAAATGGAGATCATATAATACAGAATGAATTCAAAGAATTGTATACACTCCACGAAGCGACAAAACCCAAATAAAATAATCACTTATCGTGTATAAAACACATAAATGATGGGGTTTTTATTATTAGTTATCCAGTATTGGGGTGCGTGTGATTGTGTTATATTATTGGGTAGAGTGGATGATTTTTTGTGGAAATTTCCTGTACTAAAAATGGCCAAAAACCACCATTAATCAGTACATCATCCATTTTGCGGCCGGCTCGGCGCAGAGCCGTGAGTGACTGGTAATCTGGACAGTATACGAACATTCTACAGGTGACCTTTTCGGGTCAAAATGAGATAGGAGGATTTCGTACGTTTCCATATCCACGTCGAAGAGCAACAGCTTTCCGTATATACTCTCGATTGAGCGAAAAATCCATTCAGCAGACGCCCCGTTTTTGCGCCGACAATAACATTTATTTAGCCGATTCGAATTTCATTAGATTCGCGTTTCCTATTGTTCTGGAATTCGGATTGAGCTGTACCTGGACAAGTAATTTTCCGCGCACAAAAGATCCAATCCGGCGAACGCTGAATAATTTATTTATAGCAACTCCGACAATCACACGGATTAAAATTAATAGGCAGAATGCAATTAGATTATAAAGGAAAAGGTGAAGAGTGAAATTTCCTTTAAACAGTAAATAACAATCGCGTCGGAGCTCTTCGAGTCCGAGAAAGCTCGGCGAGAAAGAAACGGCTCGGAATCGAGTTCTGGTATAAACTTAAGCTTTCGAAATAGAGAGAAGCTTCGGTTTAATTAAATTTATCTGATAAACTGTATTACCCTTAGTTCTCGAGTCGCGAGAATGGCGTTTTAGATTTATGTGGGCTAGTTTGTGTTTGCCGTGGTCTTAAAATAAATTACTCGCAGCCGGAAAAAAATCAAACCGAATTTAGAGGCGTTTCGGATGTGTTCTAATTAGTTTAAAATCGAATAAGAATGCGCGAAATCTAATTTAACAACGCTCGATTCGCTGCGAAACTTCCATATTTTCCACTCGCGTAAATTTAACGATTCCAACTGGATGCCGAAGCGTCTTAAAGCGAAAGTCCGACCCTCCGTGGAGATTATTCCGCAATCGCGGTTTAAGCTAGTGAGACGCAATTTGATTTTATCAAACTCGTCATTAGAGGCGAATTTAGAGCGCTCCACGTTAGCTTATACCAGCGCGTTTTATGCCATACAATGTTCCCGAACACTCCAATTACCCAATAATTTCTACGTTATTTTAGGTAAGCACACATTAAATTGTACTAACATTACATAAATAATTCAACATCACCCGACCGGAAATCCGAGTTAATTTTTTTTTGTTCGCAACGCGCGATTGAGAATAACAAACCGAAGGAAATATTCAAATCCACAGAAGTTTTCCGGTAACACACTTCACCTACTTCATGCCCGTCTGAACTTCGGCGAACTTTTAAATCCCAATCTCGATTGCTGTTCATTCAACAAGCTAAAGAGAGCGAACGTCCAACTCACACATACTATAAATACTCGTGTAATCGACTCAAACTTCAAATTTACATACAGCTTGCTCCATTTTTGATTGCAACATAGGTTTTATTGGGCATGGGTGCGATAAAGACAACTTCCATTAGACACTTACAAAGGAACACGAAAGAGTGACATTTGTGTCATTGCAACTTTTCACTCTGACAGCTGTCATTTTAATAACCTTTCTTTGTTCCACTCATAGAAATGACCATGTTGCAATCGGAAATGGAGCAAGGTGTATACATACAAAGCTTGTACTTGATAGAGTCTTTATTATACCCAAATCTAACCCGACGAACTCGCGATATTTTTGAATAAAACATCGAGCATTTCGCATTCCCGACGCGCCTGGCGTTAGAAGAATCCCGGAAGTTCATCATCAGCACCAACACCGTAGAAATATACTGTTAGTCAGCTCTTTCCAGATCCCGGCGTTTGACAAGTGGAAAATTAGATTTGCCGCCCCCCCGGTTCCGATAACTCGGAGCTCTGTTCCCCGGAATTTTTCTATTATCCCGCGCCGGAGATTTTTTTTAAGTATAAATTTCGTTTGTTTGCAGGTTTGTGGTGTACGATCGAGCACCTGGAGCTCTTAATGCCGAGATACGCGATCAGAGGGGGAGACGTGATACTGAGATGCGATCACAGCGTTCCTCCGGAGCAGCTTTATAAGGTGGAATGGCGCAAAGGGGAGAATAAAATCTTCCAATACATCAAAGGGCGAAAGCCGCCTTTTAGGCTGTTTCCCATTCAAGGGGCCGTGCTATCGGTGAGTATTAAATGTAGGCGACTCTTTTAGGTTTTTGTGCTGCATGGGAAACTCATCGGTTAATTGTGCTCGCCTGGAACGGAGGCGGATGCGTGATGTATGTGGGATAGGCACTAAAATATTCATCGAAAACATTATTGAAAGCAGCTCCCAGTTCTCTATATATAAAAAAAATCGTTTTCTACTGACAGGAATCCCTTACATTTCCCATGAATATTTAATGTTAGTATTTATTCAAGGAGAGGAAACTTTATTACCAGTCGCTTCTTTTGCAAAACGGCTTGCAATATTTTTTTTAGTCGACAATCATCGGCGAATTTTTAGGAGGTTTTCATTAGTTTGTTACAAAATTCCGATTTGATGCCCGAAAACGGAGTTTTAAATTCCCCCTAATTACATCGAACGCTTTTCGTGAATTTCGCGTGAGGTTAATAGCGCAAAACGCGCCGGTTTTGAATTCGGAATCGAAACAAATCTAAGTTTGATCGTGCAAATCGACCGTGTACTGTCCTATACGCGAGATGTTTCCCATCGATAAACCGAACACGATGAAACGCGAATTATTTTTTACAACGGGCAGAGGAAACTTTTCTTACACACGGACGGGCCGTAATTAAAACATTCCCCGTTGTAAACAGAACGTAAAGCGAGTTTAATTAAAACATGATTTTCAACCGCTACATAAACTTAATTGGAAATTACCATACACATGTGGAGAACGCCTCTTCGCTCGGGGATTTCGCTGATAAAAGTAAAACTCGACGCGTTCTCCTGTGACTTCATTTCGCCGAACGACAACAAAAAACCCTAAACGGCTACAGATACACGGCGAATAACGACAAAAGTTTCGTCTAACAAACGAATATGTGAACACAGTATATTCGTATTGTACAGGCAAAATCATTGTATAAGTTTCTGCAGAGCTTTTATGTAGCTCGCAATTAAAAAAATTATGTTAATAAACTCTCACAAACGAGAAGGATCCTTGTTAATTAACATATTGTCGGTGCAAAACAAATATCATTGCACGCCATCTATAATTTACTACGTCACAAGTAGGCAGTGTTGCCGAACTTTTATAGAGTTCACACAATCTAAGAATTTTCTACATTAATTGTGACGTGCACTGATATTTGTTTTGCACCGACTGTAGGTTTAGTATTTTTTCTTCTACAGTTAATTTAATTTTAGCTGCTTGGTGTGTAGGCGGAAATGGATTTGCTAATTAATCCCCGCATGTAATGAACCGCAACAAAAAACTCCTCTTCAACGGGCTTTCAGTCGAAATTAAATCGTAAATACCATTAACATAATGGAGGTAGCGCTCGTAAATTTCAAAATTACCGAATTCTATTACACCCACCTATATATGCGAGAGACGCATATAATACACCCACCTTTGTACGCGCAATTAGCGCTAAACGTCTAGTAAATTATACTCGTATCTGTTCATATATTGGATGGAAAACAAGCCGACGACCCTCCAGTTGGAGGGCCCCCGAACAATGAGAAATGCGTCCGAGGAGAAAGCCTCGCTTAACGTAACGACGAGGTATTGCTAATTAGCCCGATATGGCATTAAGGAAAATAAGGTCGTGCGGCCGGAGGTGTTGATCCCGGGGAACGTTTCAATTTTCCGTGGAAAACTCGATTACGACGGCGTTGATTACCCGACTGTACATTTAACACTGACTGATACGGTTCATTTAACTTCATCTTAAGACAATGATGTTGTTAGGACAATGAAAAATGGGTTGACTAATGAATAAGCCAGTGGTGTAGATGGTGATTTTATTAAAATTTATGAAAATACCCGCTTATTACTAAGTAAGAAGCGTGTCAAGGTGACGAAATTGCATAAAATAAACGGTTTCCATCAAAATATTGCCGGGATACTGTATAAACAAAGGCGCTTTCAATAACAATACCGCATTTCATCGACCATTCGATCCCTAAACTTGCTCCACCTTTATATACTCTCCTTCAACTTTTAATTAAAACTTCATGTTTTCGCTACATCGAATCCAACAAGTAAAAGTGATTAAAAACTTTTATTTTTCGCGATGGAGGAATTTTTACGATCGCCCGATAATTCGGCGATAAAAAATATCGACATTAGCACGTTACACGAGAGGATAACGAAAACTACGATTAGCTCATTTCGTTTTAATGCAGTTTCTTTATTTTAGCGATATGTGAAATGCGCCGAACAATTCGAGAAACATTTTCATCTAAAAACCATTAGGACGCCCGTTGATGTTATTACATTGAAGTATTTTGATACGCCTTCGACTGGCGGCGTAAAATGGTGCATATTAAAGTTCATAGGACGCCTAAAATAACCTATTAGAAAATCGATACTTTAACGCCTGTATCATCAGGCGCATCCGCATTATTAGCATTTGCTTATCTTTTACTGTTTACATAAACGTTGAATTTAATCTAATGGAAGAGGATAAATACCAATGGGGGCGTTCAATAATAATAATCATAAGTAGTGTTGGTGCAAAACAAATATCAATACTTATACTTGCCAAGCATGTTCATTCAATATTAAGAAGGGATGATAGTTAAAAGGCAGAATTAAATCATCCAAAAAATTGTCAAAATTCATCGTTTTTGTAGCATGAGTTTGTAGTTTGAGAATTCTAAAAATTCCACCGCTGGTGAGGCGGTGGAATCGGGAGAGCCGGGCCATAAACCCGGCCGGATTAGCGGCGGCGCGACTGAATTTTTCAACTCGGAATAAACCAGACGTAACGGACGCCTTCCAAATATTAACCGCATCAATTATTCAGTCCGAGTTGCGGCAATAAAAAAAGAGCCGCCTGATTATTTTCGCCCGCCTCCCGCGGGTTTTACGTATGATTTTCGCATTCATAAATACCTATCGTCGCTCGTAATATGCCGGAGAGCAAGCGACGAAATCTTTTAATGTCGTTTTTTGCCCTTCGAATAACATCCAACCGCTCCGCCACAATGTAATAATTTCTCCCCCATCACAGTTTCGTTTTCTGCGTTTTTGTATATACACACAAAAAATTCTAACCAGATTAATTAGCGAATCAAATAGAATTTATACGAATTATTCCAACTTTTTAATAGACATAAATATTGCATCGAAACTGCTTTAATTATGTAATTATATTAGCATATAGTAATTTCCAGGCCATCTGTTTGGTAAAATAATTCACCTTTTATTGTATTTTGATTATCCGTACCCTCTTGGTAATGAATAAATTACATTATAAACTTCATATTTCAACCGAAATTGCTCAATAGTCGACTCAGTAATGGCATCATATCGCATTAAAATTCTCAGTCGATTTATCAATACAGCACACCAAACCAATTTATATATTTTAAATATTGCATTCAGTTTGCACAATGGAAGCGAACAATACGATTCGGAATCAGAAACGCGATGCGACAGCGTTATCAACGACGGTTGAACAATAGATGGACCGTCCGCATTCGTCAGTTTACTCGTTAATTGGAAAACTGCGTCATTAACAAACAATAATCGATCTCTGGCGGGAAAACGTTGGATGTTCCGGGCGGAATTGTCGATGACATAATCGTGGAAATTAAGAACGGCGGATGAAATTTATTTCGAACACAACGCGATCGCCTGGCGGCGGTAATTAAGTCGGCGATCGTTGTGATGGAGCGGCGTATCAATCTAATATCGAGAGGCGGTACATTTGATAATAACCGTATCGGAATCGGCGAAGCATCGGCTCGTGTTCCGACGGGAAATTGGAATGCCGCGTTAAATTCGTTGATATTATATCTGCCTCCTTTATCGGGAATGCAAATTGTCTTCGGATTAAGTTCCAAACACAAGCAACATACGGAAACTTGTTTAGGGTAGGGCGGGGCTAGTTGAGCAACTTTTCACTTTAGCTGATATAGCTCATCAATGATATGTGTGAATGACTTGTTATGTGGCTTGATGGATTAGTAATTTATCCCTTAACAAAAGTGTCCATAGTAACTTTTTTGTAACTAGTTGAATTTAAGAGCTACAGCTGTTTAAATGCAGAAAGTCAAGTATGCTCAATGTACCCCATAGGTGAGGTAAGTTGAGCAACGGTATGTTTACATATAGGATATGTTTATTTTTATAATCATCTCTTTATTTATTGTGATTTAGTGACAAAACAACAAAACTTAAAGTAATTTACGAGCTTTCTGTTTAAAATCAGAATTAAATAGCTTAAAAAAATATTAATAATATATTAGCAAGTTTTGGTCGTTGTTACTGTTGCAATTAATACAAATGAAAGTAAGACCATAGCACCTGGAAGACATTTTATTTGTGCCCATTCCCTGCAAGCTTGGCAGTGAATCCAACTTTCTCCTGCTAAATTTCGCAGTAGTTGCTCAACTAACCCCAACCCGCAATTTTAAAATAAAAGTGAGGTCATAAAGAAATCATAAGAATTATAACCAGAACATCTCTACATATCAAAAGTACAATAATTTTCTGGAATATTAACCCTTACCCCATTGAAAACGGATAATATTTGACTAATACAGACGAAAACTTGCGATAGACGACGTTTTTACTTTTTGGTCACAAAAAAAACAAAACGCACGGGGGCTTTACTCGCTTGTCGAGGCGCCACTTGCAATAGCTCTGTGATTAGGTCTCCCCCGACCCCTTCTTTCCGCCATAAGATGTTTATGCGTACGGTGAATAGTTTGCGAGATATTTCGATTGCACAACTTACCCGTATGCTCAACTAGCCCCGCCCTACCCTACTTGAATTTCCTCTGATACATTAATTCCTAGCTTCTCAGCTCGAAATTTTGGATGGATTATTATTTTTGCTTGGAAAGCGAAAGAATAACAAACAAATCTGAAATTGAAATATTCAAACAACGAAAAGCAAACTTTTATTTAGGTATATTTGGAAAATACACAAACGTTAGGTAAACAGTCCTCGACTCAGAGGAAACCATAACCTACTTAAATAACGTGAAACGTTTCTCAA